TTGATCTCCCAGCAGGCAGAGGAGCTGTGGAATACACAGGGGGTTTGTATTTTACTTTCCATTTGGACAATGGAGATAGGGGAGGGAAATAGAGGTCTTGAAAATTCAGGAAGAGCAGTAAGTGGCTCCAGTGTTAATTAAAATCAATTTGGTTATCTGTGATAGTTCCCTAAGGCTCTGCCATCTTGATGTTGTGAAGTTGGTTTTGAAGCTGGGATCTGTCAGACTGAAGCAGCTCCAGAAGATCCCTGGGTATGGAGAGAATCAGTTTACCGGGCCCACCAGGTCTGGAAGGCAAGGATGGTCTCCCGTTGTAGAAAGAGGGCACTGGCTCTTCCAGGCTCTTTCCTTTTTGTAGTGAGGGCACGGTCCCGGCAGGGTCCACTTGCTGGGGCACTCCGTACTCCAGTGACACAGAGTTGTAGTGGAGGCAGTTGTGAAAGAAAAAACTGGATTTTTTCTGACCCCATATCCTTCCAGAGAGGGAGTTGGTGCCCAGGCAGGAAGGGAGTTTGAGTAGTCGGTCTGAGAGAGCGTGGCCAGGCGGAGATGGAGAAGGAGGAGGGGAAATAGGGGGAAGTATGCTGAAGGAGGGAGGTGAATTTTGAGAAACTTCACATGGAAGGTGAAGACAGTGAGAGAGAAGGGGCTAAGAAGTAAAATGTGGCAGGTAGAGTGAAGATTAGAAAGTCTAGCAAGTTTAAAAAAAGCCTGACTGTAGGGAAAAAAAGCCTGACTGTAGGGAACTTTAGACCCCCTTGCTGTGCCAGTGGCAATAGGTCAACTGGCAGAATAGCATTATGATTAAGACATCCATTCTTGGGCCAAATTTCATTTAACTCAATGTTGCCTGTGATAGCAACTAGGAGAAGGAAAAGGACGTTTAGAGACGGTCATATGTTGAAAATGGAAGAAATCTGAGGGGGCGTTCCCAACTCAGATGACCTCCGGAATTCTGACCAGACATCAGGCATCCCTCAAGTCTGAGTCAAGCTGTGACCTAGAGATCTGGCCAGAAAACAGGTGTCCCAAGTTCTGACTCAGACTTGGACCTCCAAGGGACTTCCCTGTCCCCCCGCCACCAAATACCCTCCCAAGTGGTAGACCCAGTGCTGGGTGTTTCATCCTTGACCAAACCAGAAAGCTGTCACTCCCAACCTTGAACATAGGACCATTTTTAGAGCCCAAGAGACTTACCAAATTCCCAATGAGAGCACTGAGAATGAAGTCCTGGGAGCTCTGTAGCAGAGGGAGCAGTCCAGAGACAGAAGCAGAAAACTGAGCTCCTCCTATGGAGGCAGGGAAGTGACTCCCCATAACAAAGATAGAAAAGTGAAGTCCCCATGACGGGGATAGAAAAGTGACCCAGTTTCTCCTCTGTACAGGCCACCCACCACATGAAACAGTGGAGACCTCATGAGAAGCTCATGGTGTGGGTTGGAAAACATTTTTCACACAGTTTAGGATAAAAAAATTACAAAGTTTATTTATTTTCCTGCAAAAAAAAAAAAAAAGAGGGAGCTGGAGATAGAGAGAAGGAGAGAATGGCCACAACACAGAGAAAGGAAGTGTCAGCAGCTAATGAAAAGTTGCCTGGAGTTTTAAAGGGTAAAAATGGCTTTTCCCCCCTACTTTAACAGGCTGGTAACAAAAGCACTGGCAGAGCTGTTAGTTCTTTTTCTTCACCTGTGAGGCTGGCTAATCTGAGTCCTGAGAATCTGCTACTGGTGAGAACTGAAGTGGGGAGTTCACACCCCCACTGCCTGCTTAGGGCTTTTCAAGCCCAAGAAGCAAGTCTTAGAGATAACAAGTTAGGCCACAGGTGTTTTAATTAAAACAAAGTGTAGTTGTGTTTTATGTGCTCTGAGTTTATTTTACTTACTTTCTGTTTGACAGTGCATTTTCCTCTGTTAATACACTGACTGCCACACTAGAAAAAAAATTTTTTTCCTTTGGGCCACGGTGTTTATTACAAAAATAGAACAAAAACTTCAAAAACAAGACGACCCTTTCTAATTTAATGAAAAATTTGTTATTTTTTATTATTTTCTGTGAGTTATATGCAACTTGAAAAATAGTTCTGGCAGCTCCCAAGGTAAGGAGACGTGTGAGTTACATATGTTTCATGAGATCTCGGGCTCAAAACTAGCGTGAGTTAAATACAACTCATGTGGCAGTCAATGTGTTAAACAGATTATTAGTAAGCCACTTTTCAGTAAGATTCCAGATCCTGTACTCACAGATAAGGTCCCAGGACGGTAGTTTCTGGAAATGCCCTACAGGCTCGCTCCCTACAACGGGGGCAAGGAGCAAATGTGCATTCAGGAAATGCCTAGCTTTCCCCCCCCAAAGCCTTTCTGTGACAGTGGACCGGCAGAGGCCACGGACGTCTCCGGCTGTCAGCCAGTGAGCTGGATACCTGATCTGGGTCCGGGAAGTTTGTCTCGCAGGAGCGGTATGTGGACGCGGGCTTCGGAAGCCGGGCTCGGGACCCAGTGAGGCACAGCCCCTTTGGGGGCGTCGTGGGTCTCCTCCTGGGGCCTAGCCTTCGTCCCTTGGGCACTCCTGTGGCTAGATTCACGCCCTCCCATCTGAGCACACCCGGCAGACAGCTTGCGGCATGGGGCCAGGCACGCACCCTCGTCCACCCTGCGGAAGCCGGTCGGTAGGCCCCAAACAGGTTTTCACAGCTCCTTTAGTAAAAAGGATAGCATGGATCCTAACCTGATATGGGACCAAGACAAAGGAGGCGACCAGATGCGCCTGAGGACCTGCTCGTGAGATCCCGCCTACCCTCTCCGCGGTCACCCGGGGACAGAGGCAAGGCCGAACTAGGTCGAGTTAGGACGTCGCGGGCCGCGTCCAGGCAGGCGCCGGCCAAACCCCAGCGAGACGAGGCGGGCGGGGCTAGCGGACACGCCGCAAGATGGCGGCAGACCTGGGGCCCGCTGCACGCCGGCGCGGGGCGGGGCGAGCGGAGTGCCCCGACAGGCCGCGCGGCACCCGGTTTCCGGCTGTGGGTCGGGGAGGGCGTCGGCGGCGGCCGGAAGCGGGCTGAGCCGGCCTCTAGGAGCGCCACCTGCGCTTCCGGGGGCCTAGCGAGTGACTCTAGCGTCTTCCCGGTAGGCGGCGCGGGAGGAGAAAGAGGTTTGAGGGGCCGGGCGGATCCCCTCTTTCCCCAATGTGAGTAGTTTCCGAACCCCCCGTCCGGCAAAGGCTGTCCAGAGAGGTGGAGCCGGTGGCCAGGCCGAGAACATGAGGCAGTGTCTCTTCTTCCTGACCAGCTTGGTTCCTTTCGTGCTGGCACCGCGACCTCCGGACGACCCAGGCTTCGGCTCCCATCAGCGACTTGGTAAAGACCCGGGGGGAGCTGGCGTAGGCCGGCGCCTGGAGTGCGCTGCTTTGAGGGAAGAGCAGGGGAGCTGGATCTATCAGGTGTTTGGGGGCGGGGTATTGGGTGATGGTGGCTCATCCCTAAGTTTTCAATGTAGGAAGGGGGTGTGGCTCTCTGAGTTTAGGGAAAGAATAAAGGAGATGGGTTTGTCCCTCCTGTGGGAAAGGGGTACTGGAGGGGCTTCCTGTAGTGACTGAGCGTCTGGGAGGGGTCTGCTCCCTGAGTTTGCGTTTGTATAGTGTGTTGGGAAAGAGGTAAGGGGTTTGGAGGGGGGGTGGTGGTTGGCTGTGTTTGCATAGGGAGATGTGGCCAAGGTCCCTGCCCTAAGGAACAAATCTAATATGTGTTCTTACCAAAGACAGGACTTTGAGAAGGAAAGGAAGGGCCCAAAGCTCCAGAGTTCTTCCTCTGGAGGAAACTAGAATTTCTACTGTAGGAGTTACTTGTGCAATAATCTGGTTGGAAGGCGGCGACTAGAGTTGTTTCATATGCTTTTGTTGCTGGAGTTAAGAGTCTTGGAGTTGCGTTTTGCGAACATCATAAGCACGTTCGTGGTTATTTAAGTTGTAACTTATTGGAGGTACTAGGGAGTTAGGAAGAGGCTAAAACCTGCGAAGCCAACTCGTGATGCTGCCCCAGTGAGTGCTTTCCTTGCAATTTCAAACAAAGACATTAGCAGGGATGACCAGTTTGATCAGTTTAGAGCCTGGAAAGTAGAGGGTTTCTGTTTAATTAGATTTCCAGAGAGATTGGATTTTAAGGATGGACATACATTGAGACGTGAAGTTTGGTGGAAGTCATTTATATAAACTTTTAGTGTGTCTTAGGGTCCTTTATCTTTCAAAAGTTGACATGCAAGACAGTTTGGTTAATTAGTAACAAAAGTGTGAAACAGTCTGTTTTCGCAGCGTGTAGAGATGTAGCTTTGTCATTTTTCGTGATTGTATTGGTCCCCAAATCCCACCATGATACCAAGTATAGTATGGTGCAGATAGAGACACCATGTGGGTTTTCTTCATGGCTAATCAAAATTTTTGCATTAATTTGTTACTTGGCATTTTTTTCTTATTTAATGGACAGAAGTTGTAATTGACTGATATGTATATTAAAGCTGTTGAGTGTTCTCACTTGAACAACTGCCTTGTAGTTGTCTCAAATTGAAATAGATTACAAGCGACTAGTTTAATGAAAGTCAAGGGAGCCAGTTAGGAAATGCTGGGAAGTGTTAAGTCAATACAAATTGAAGGAAAGTTTTGAAGTATGGGTGTGGTTTAGGTGGAGCAATAAAATGAGGATCTGCTTCATTTTAAGCATAAATGTTAATAAAAAGAATAAACATGTATTTTGAAGTACTAAAATAATATTTGCACTACCCTAATACATCTGTTTCACTTATGTTATTATCATTGTCTTGTTCACAGGTGGAAAACATGAATCCTAGGAAAGCATACAATATAGAGAAAGATACTACTTTCTGGATCGATTCACAGCAGCATTTACAGATCATAAGGGTTTTTTTGACCATGTGGTTTTTTTTATTTGCAAAGTGCAGACCATGTGTATCAGAAAAGTGGATAGACTTACCCATTTATTCACCAAGTATTTGAAGAACTCATACTGTCTGCCAAGTATTAATATTATGCGTGGCATTGGAAATACAAAGATCAGACAATATTCATATTCAAAGGCTTGTGGTATATTGGAATAGACATACAGACATCTAAACAGACACTTCTAAAGCAACATGGAGGAGAGTGCTAGAGCCCATTATGGCAGGTATTATCACAAAGGGACACTGAACTCAGCCTGGGAAGATAGTTAAGGCTTCCTGGAGGAGGTGGTGCTTGAGCCCAGACTTTAAGGTTAGGAAGGTGAAGAGGGAAAATAAGGACATTTCTTTTCTTTTTTTTTTTTTTGAGACAGAGTCTCACTGTGTTGCCCAGACTAGAGTGCTGTGGCATCAGCCTAACTCACAGCAACCTCAAACTCCTGGGCTTAAGCGATCCTTCTGCCTCAGCCTCCTGAGTAGCTGGGACTACAGGCATGCGCCACCATGCCCGGCTAATTTTTTCTATGTATTTTTAGTTGTCCAATTAATTTCTTTCTATTTTTAGTAGAGACAGGGTCTTGTTCTTGCTCAGGCTGGTTTCGAACTCCTGAGCTCAAACAATCCGCCCGCCTCGGCCTCCCAGGCGTGAGCTACCGCTCCTGGCCATAAGGACATTTCTGATGGCGGAACTTAGAGACTGTTAGGACTTAGAGACTGAAATGAACCTTAGAGATCATGTCTAGTTTTTTAATAAAGAGGCAGGAAAAACGAGTCTCACAAAGATACAGTTATTTGTTAGGTTCACACAGTTGGTGATGAACATACACCTTGTGGGCATTTTTTCTTTTGAAGAATGACTTTGTTATGTTTGTTTGACAGCTCAGGATGTAATTTATTGCTTAACTTAACCCTACCATTATTTAGATTGAGTTGGTCAAGACCAACAAATAGTTTTATAGTTAAAGAACATGGCTTATTATTTATTGTTTATGTTTATTGTCCTATAAATGTTACTGTAATGGCAGTACTGAATATTAATTAGGTATATGACAGCATTTTTCTGAAGGGCAAAAAATATATAAATGGAAGCCTGGCTTTTGGAGTACTCCATAGGTCACCAAAAATGATTTCAATTGAACTGTTACGAATTGCATAATTCTGGAAAGTTATGAGTCATATGAGTTTAGTCATGATGATATCTTGTTGAAGTTGCAGCTGGAGTGTATAAGTCTCACTTTGATTTCAAAATTGTTTTCCCTTTGTGTTACTTTTAATAAAAGAGGATGTAGTGGGTGGAAGGAAAAAATACAGGTCACAGATGAGGGATGAAAATTTGTATCTGAAACATACATATTGAAATTTACCTTGAGGTTATTGGCATGGGGATTCTCCATATTGCAGTGTTCATTTCAGCACCATTTTACTCAGTATTTTTGACATCTGGCTTTTTTTTTTTTTTTTCTTTTTAATATATGTTAGAGCAGGGTCAGACTGGCTTCCTCCTTCCTCCTTTTTTTTTTTTTTTTTTTTTTTGAGACAGAGTCTTGCTCTGTTGCAGGGGCTAGAGTGCCACGGTGTCAGCCTTGCTCACAGCAACCTCAAACTCTTGGGCTCAAGCAATGTTCCTGTTTCAGCCTCCCAAGTAGCTGGGACTTACCACACCAGGCTAATTTTTTCTATTTTTAGTAGAGCCCAGGTGTTGCTCTTAGTCAGGCTGGTCTCAAACTCCTCAGCTAAAGCAATCCTCCTGCCTGGGCCTCCCAGAGTGCTAGGATTAGGGGCATCTGTCCTGGCTTCCTCTTTTGATGTTAATTTCGCTTATAGGCTGCATTCCTTTGTAATTTAAACACTTAACCACCCTAGCTGCTCCAAGGGAGATTTAATATAATTCTAGTCTGCACTAGTCAAAGAGATAAACTGTATTTGTAGAATAGAGTGGAGAGAAGAGTTAAGCAGAGAGCCATGATGGGGAAACTGGAGAAATTATTTTGGCTTTTAGAGAATTTTCCAAAACGTTAAGTGTAAGTGTCCTGCAAGGCCAAATGTGGTTGATTTTTTGGTCCTTCGCCATTTTGTATTGTGAGAGTTGGTAAATGTATACAGCTGGAAGTATACTTTGAAGAAAGTCTGAAAAAGATTGGTAGAGAAGAGGCCGGGCGCGGTGGCTCACGCCTGTAATCCTAGCACTCTGGGAGGCCGAGGCGGGCGGATTGTTTGAGCTCAGGAGTTCGAAACCAGCCTGAGCAAGAGCGAGACCCCGTCTCTACTAAAAATAGAAAGAAATTAATTGGACAGCTAAAAAATATATAGAAAAAATTAGCCGGGCATGGTGGTGCATGCCTCTAGTCCCAGCTACTCGGGAGGCTGAGGCAGGAGAGGAGGATCGCTTGAGCCCAGGAGTTTGAGGTTGTTGTGAGCTAGGCTGACGCCACGGCACTCACTCTAGCCCGGGCAAAAAGAGTGAGACTCTGTCTCAAAAAAAAAAAAAAAAAAAGATTGGTAGAGAAGGAGGGACAGAAATGGGCTTCACTGAGATAGGGAAGTAATATGAAAGTGTTGAGCATCCCTAATCTGAAATGCTCCAAAATCTGAAACTTTTTGAGCACTGACCATAAGTTTCCCTGAACACATTATTTTTCACTGTATTAATGGTATGCCATATTTTTATTGATTTTTTTATTTTTTTGAGACAGTCTCACTCTGTTGCCTGCCTGGGCTAGAGGGCCATGGCGTCAGCCTAGCTCACAGCAACCTCAAACTCCTGGGCTCAGGCGATCCTCCTACCCCAGCCTCCCGAGTAGCTGGGACTACAGGCATGCGCCACTATGCACGGCTAATTTTTTCTATATATTTTTAGTTGTCCAGCTAATTTCCTTCTATTTTTAATAGACATGGGGTCTGGTCTTGCTCTTGCTCAGGCTGGTCTCGAACTCCTAAGCTCAAAGCGATCCACCCGACTCGGCCTCCCAGAGTGCTGGGATTACAGGCTTGAGCCACCGCGCCTGGCCTGGTATGCCATGTTTTATTGTTAAGTACTTATGTGTGGATAAGTGTAGGAAAATGATTACTGATCTACAGCACGTAAATTCAGAGTCAGGAATGATAGTGTTGCCAAACAACCACTGATAGTCCACATGGGTGGCTGAGATAGTGACACCTTTGCTTTCTGATGGTTCAGGGTGCACAGATTTTGTTTCCTGCACAAAATCATTTTAAAATATTGTATAAAATTACCTCTACTCTATGTGCATGAGTTGTATACAAAACATAAGTGAATTTCATGTTTAGACATGGATCCATCCCCAATATATCTCATATATATGCAGATATTTCAAAATCCAAAAAAATCCAAAATATGAAACACTTCTGGTCCCAGTCATTTTGCATAAGGGCTACTTACCCTGTATCT